CTACTGACTTTCTTCTGGGTTTGCTATTAAAATACTGTTTGGCCTCATATCTTTCTTAGTCCTTCACATATCTTTGCCTCTATTCTTCTTTACTGCAGATTTTCCCTCACCTATTGTACAAAGAAATTGCGATGTATATTTTCATGTAATTTGATTTTGGAATTCTGTCACCTTCTGTAGTGAGTTCTTCCAAAATACAATTTTTTTCCAATAATTGTCAAGTTGTTGTTGGCTTTTATTGTATTGAATGAAGGTTATAGTACTGAATGCCAGAGAAGTGCAGTTTAGAAAATCTCAGGTTGATTCCTTATGCAAACAAACTTAATACTTGAAAATCACATGGCCATCGTAGTATGTGAATTGGGTTCTATCTAGATTCTTAATATTAATCTAAAAAGCATTATAAGAGTAAATGTTTTGCTATTTGACATACAGCTTTTCTCACTGACATAGCACATTTGGATTTGATTAATGTTTGAGCATAAGTATATTTCATATCATACAGTTTTTAAAAACTTTAGCAACTCATAAAATGAGTATTGCAGTGTTATTGACAGACTTAGACTTTTCTCTTTTCGTTGAGGTTAAGTGGGAAGTAGTCTTTGGCATATAAGTGGTGGAAATTGAGACAGTACCAGATAGGACATGTGTCTGATTGTGAGAGTTGGTGTATCTCTGCTCTGACTTATTTGAGGGAGTTTGGTGATGATGCTTTGGCAGAACAGTGAAGGGATTCCTTCTAGTAGGTTAGACATCTGCCAAGTTTGTCCTTTTTAAAGCAGGAATAAAATAGTTAAGGATGTCACAGTAAAGACTTTTTCTCCTAAATACCAGTGTTTCTCATCCTGAAGCATTGTAAAAACCCATAATCTTTTTATAAACGCGTAAATGTTTAGTGACTGTGAAAATTGAGTTGATTCACTGGAGCCCAATTTTCTTTGATGACTTGGTGACTTTTTTTTTAAAGAGACTGTAAAAATTACTGCACTCCACAAGGGACTTGGAATGCAATCCTTTTTACTCAGATCAGAAATTGTCCACATAGTGGTTGCTTGTGGCAAGATGGAGTTGTTTTCCTCTCCTATTGCTGTAGTTCTGCTAGCAATCTGTTGATTTCAAATCTGGATTTGACTCAACAAGTAGCTAATTAGTAGCTCAGGGACAACTTTCTGAACTGTAAGTGCCACTTTACAGTTGGTTTGGTATAACCATGAGGTTATTTAGGGCTAGATCTAGGGGAGTGGAAGAGCCAGAAGTGAATGCCTCTCTCCTCACACTGTTTCCACCTGGTACCCTAACCATGCTACAAACAGAAACATAGGCCTCAACAGATGTTAGGACTTCTTTTCCTCTGTCAGAGATGTCATCTGTGCCTTTCCCAGTGTTCATCTGACAATGTGAACTTAAATGCCTATTTGTTGCTAAACTTGCATTGAGGTGATAATGAACCAGGTGGTTTTGTCCCACCAGTACCTCATCATTACAATGTGAGGTAATTCTTCTCTGCTTTAGGAAAAGGATTTTTCCTTCCTAACCTTGTACCAATCATTAACATCTATCTTACGTAGTCCTTTGGGTTGTAGAACTGTTGGCTATTTCCTAAATTTATTCCAAGATCTTGTAGAGGCTTATAGATTTCAGTCTGTGTTCATAAAGGATGATCTCAGTGGCTTTCTGGCCACCTCTCTTGAGTTTAAAATCCGTATGAATTTCCTTGTCATAAACTTTATAATTTCATGAGGTTATTCCACTGGTTCTGTGATCACTTGGGTGTCATGGTTATCTTTAATGGCCTTTCTTTCCCAGTTGTGAAATTTTATATGCTTACTCACCCTACAGTTCTGCCCTTTTTGGGTTGTGGTGCCTGTGTATTTTGCCCGTCTGGTTTCCAGTTGGTGGAATTACCTTTTTTGTACTGCCACTTCTCAGCATCTTTGAAAATTTGACATAATGTTGCTTCATTCCAGTTTTCTCCTTTTTTTTTTTTTAAGTTCTGTAATTTGTTGATTGTATTTAACTATGTGAGTTTTGTTGTGATGTTTGTTGTATTCTAAAGTACCTCAACCATGTGATAGGTGCTCTATAAATCAATAAATGATGACTTAGAGGCTGTATCATGGGCTATTTTGGTTTTAGGATGCAGGTGTCAAAAGCAAGTGGTGGGATTCTTTCTATATAAACAGCATATAATACCAAAGGGGACATAGGGGAATGTTAATAAGGAATTTTGCAAGCTTAATGTGAAGGCAGGACATTAACCTGACTTTCAGCCTAATGTAATGCTCTGTAATATTCTTAAAATTTCCTGTAATGCACTCCTTTTGTTTCTTGCATGGTGATTTAGAAACACATGATAGAATATTATGGGGACTTTGTCTTTTGCGTAAACTGGCTCTACTTTAAAAGATAATTTAACCAGTGAGGAACTCAGTCTCTGATGTGAGCTGGAAGAGACCGACTACAGACACCATCTCAATTCCTTCCCCTAAACAGACAGGGAAATCTGCTCAATACATTACCTACCTAGAGTTACTTAGTGGCAAAAGAGGCAAGACTGAGTTGCTTTTGGTTTTTTTTTATTTTTTTATTTTTTAAACATTTATTTATTTAGTGTGTGTGTGTGTGTGGCCAGCTTAGCCCACCAGGGGGCGGGGCTGGCTGGCATGTGGTGCTGGGGGATCGAACCGCGTCCCTGTGTGCTTTGCCAAGCTTGTTCCAAGTAGGTGCTTTAGACCACTGAGCCATCTCGCCAGCCCCCCCCCCCTTTTTTTTTTTTTTTTAAACATAATAGTACCTAGCTTTTTATCCTGAGTCCTTGTAGTTTATAGTAATTTAGTGTTAGGTGCTGGTAACTGACTGCTGCGTTGATGTTTGTGTTTATAGTACTTCGCTAGTGGACTTATGGTCTCTTCCTTACAAAGAGAAAACACGGAGCCAGACTTAGTTACAGCTGAATTAGAAACAATTAGAGAACAGTTTTGGGAAAACTAGGGGTCATCTCTAGAGTTTAATTTCCTTGATTAATATTCTCTATTTGAGTTAAAATAGTGGAATGGTCTAATCAGTGGTGAACCTGTGGCATGCGTTCCACAGCCAGCTGCTTGTTACCATTGAGAGCTCTAAAAGGTTCACCATCACTGATCTGGATGTTGTCTCTGAACTTTCAATATCAATTTCACACAGAGACCTCTACTTTGAGACATAGAGCAAGAAAACTTGCAAGGCGTCAAGTACAAAGGGACTGGTTGTTCATTCTACAATACTGTGTATGAGGTACTAGGTTTACAGGAAGGGTCAGTTGACTTTTTTTCTCACCCCTTCAAAAACAGGCCAATATAAAACCTGGAGGCCTACAAATCCTAAAGGTCTTAGTTTGTAGAGCATCATATTTCCAGCTGTAGTCTGGTCAGTTTCAGGTTACTGCAGTCAGGCTGCTAAGGTAGGATCAGGCTTTTTGGCTAGTTGAGTTGACTTTCTACACTAAGTTTTAGTGAAATGATTATAAAATTTTGAGTCCTGTTAACATAGGTGAGATAAACTGAAGGAACTGCCACAAACGGCACCTAGAACTATCTTAGACATAAAAACTTCCTAAGAATTACTAGGCAAGACACATCCCTCCCCTTCTGAGTATCTATTAGAGTTGGCCCCAGCCTCAACATACTAAACATTCAGAGATTTCATCTTCACCCTCTACCATGATGTCCCACTGCCTCAGTCTTTCCTTGTACTCTAGAATTTGTTTATTTGATGCAGGGTCTTGCTTTGTAGTTCAGACTTCTAGTGATCTTCCTGTTTCAGCCTGCCCAGCACTAGGATAACAGGCGTGTGCCACCATGCCTGGTTTTGAAGCCAATACAGCGTGCTCAGGGCTCCAGAGCCTGCATGGCATGTGGTACTGGGGATCGAACTCGGGTCCTTACGCTTGCCAGGCAGGAGCTTAAACTGCTGAGTTATCTCCTCAGCCCTAGAATTTTTTTAAATAGAATTTTACTGTATGTAACATTGTTTGGGGGTTTTTGTTGTTGTTTAGAGGTAGGGTCTTGGTAGTGCAGGCTGGTCTTGAGCTCACTTATGTAGGCCAGGCTGGCCTCTTTTAATTCTCCTGCCTCAGCCTTCCAATTGGTGGGATTACAGGTAAGTGCCACCATGCCCACAGTGCTCTAGAATTTAAGACAGCATCTATTTCCTATCTGCCTCATACTCTTGAGACAACCTCAAATTAAGTTTCTCTTAATCTGTGCAAAATTTCAACTGGGTATAACACTATGTTCCACTGCTCGGAATTTTAAAGAATTTTTCTACTTCAGCCTGCATCATTTAATGTAATTTGGCTTACCAAGTTTACCACATGGGTACTACAGATGCTTTACTTTAAATTCTTTATTTATTTATTTATTTAGTGTGTGGCCAGCTCAGCCCACCAGGGGGCGGGCGGGCCAGCATGTGGTGCTGGGGGATTGAACCGAGGTCTCTGTGCTTTGCTTGAGCTTAGCTTGTTCTAAGTAGGTGCTTTAGACCACTGAGCCATCTCACCAGCCTACTTTAAATTCTTTAATAAAAATCTTTGTAGTTCAGGAGTTTTAGTCCAGTCCTGGTAGAAAGGCATACCCAGGGGGTTGAGTAACAACTTTTTTCTTTTTAGATAAGCCATTTCTTAAATGAGTGCCTTCTCTCTGGTAAGGGGTTTCCTTGAAGATAGGTTGTGATGAAGTA